GGAGAGTTTATGAACTCCAAAATCATGAACAGAATACATGATTTTAGTGGAAAGGTTTTGTTAACAGTTGTGGTTAGAAGTGTATTTTAACCAGAAATTCCCTCTCATCTGTAATCACAACACATTCTTTCATACCCCCAGCCTAATGGGTAGGTATTTTTAACATTAATTATTGTGTTCCTAGTCAGCTTTGATTCATGATTTACTCAGGCAAAATTTCAAGGGCTGCATAATTAAATCTGTGGTTGAGGGGAGCAAAGTGCCATTAACTGGAGAAATGGTTTAAAAGGTTATGGTAACAAAATCTTTAGGCATTAAGGAATATCCTAAGATTAGGAAATGCCTAAAAGTATTCTTTGCTGTCCTGAGCAATCCACACAGTAACTGGTTGCATTTTTTACTTCTCCCAGTATTAGTCCCTGATTCACTAATATGAATTTTATTTGATTCTACATGAATTGTCTGGTTTTCTTTCTAGCCATAGGCAGGAGTTTGTTGGTTTCTTCATCCAAGCCAAACCAGTGGAGTTACTCAGGGAACTACAATATTACAAGCTTAGAGGACCTGAAAACTGAGTATAGTGCCAGGACCCTTCAAAGAATTAGGAATATTCTGTAGACAGAACATAGGGATGGGAAGTAATTGTAAAAGAGTGAATTAACAGCAATGTTTGTTCTATGTCTGCAAGTCAGGAGTGATTTACAGAGCAATTTTCTTAATGGATTCAGAAGGATTTTAAGATGCAAACAGTGAGCAAGGCTCCAGATAAGGAGTTGGCCTCATAAATGGATAGTTTTTTCCTTGTGGAATAAATATTTGTTATCATAAAGGCTCATTTTTTTACCCGTTTGGACTAGTCATGCCATGCTTGTGCTGGAGATGTGCTGTGTCTGCCCTGATTCATGCAACTCCATAATTAACTGCCCCAAACACTGGAGGAAGCAGAGGACATCATTTTTGCCCTGTTTATGCTTTTCCATCTCTTCTGCAATTCCTTGTGTGGTTGCAACTGCACCATATCCTCCCAGCCAGGCAGCTGGAATGAAACTGTGCTCAGTTTTAAGGTGACATTCCTCTTGTGCCATAAATAAGCTCCAAAGCTCTCCCCTACACACAGCAGAGCAACAGGAGAGGAGGAGCTGTCACATATGCCCATGTTCAGTTGCTGTGGGAACTTGCAGCAAGCAAGAGTCAGATAAATTTAGTTGGACAAGCAGATGACACATTCCCTCCAGTTGCTGCTGCTTTGGCTCTGAAAGCCCTAAATGCTGTCCCTAGAGGGACCAGCCTGCTTGGATGCTTTACTCCCATTCCCTACAGCAGACTTGATGTGCCCTGGCAGTGGCTCCTCATGTTCCTCACTGGTTTGAGTCTGATAACGAGCTTGCAGCAAGCTCCACATTTTCCTGATTGGGTTTTTTTTTTGTGCTTTATATATTTTCTGATTTATTTTTTTTTTGCTTTGAGTGCCTTTCCCTGTAGGAAGAAGAAAGTATGGAGTCATTGCTCCTGAACCTCCTGCTCTTGACTTGTTAGCAACCAGAGCCAGTGGGTGGCTGTGTGTTTTAGTCTTTTGGCAATCACCTTCGCTGCTTGTGTCAATGTTAAGGATGCAGCTCATTTCTAGCTGCTGAGAAATTGGAGCCTGTAATGTCAGGGGCTGTTTTTAGGAAGGGATTTTAGCAAAATAGGCTTAGTTAATATGTGCATTGCTTGATTTCTGCAGGTTCTCAGTGGTGTATCTCCCTGGCAGCACCTTTAGTTAGGCCTGAGTGATGTACAGTGGAAGCTTTAGCACCTCAGAGATAATTTAAAGGCTGATTTTTGTTCTTGGTGTAACTGAAACACAACTGAAAAAACCCTCCTGAAGTGACACATCTTGTGTCAGAGCTAGAAGGTTCTGAGTGTCTTCTCTGCACTGGGATGAGGCCCAGCCCTGCATACTCAGCCTTCCTCACCACATCCAGACTGATGTAGGAGATTATATGTTAGTCTGGATGGGCTGAGCACTGAAGGACAGGCTGTGTCCATGAAAAGCCACGTGTAACCTGGTCTAGTGGAAGGTGTCCCTGCCAGGCAGGGATGGGGTAGGACTAGCTGATCTTCAAGTTCTATTCCAACCCCTTAACATTCTGTGATTCTATGAAAGTTTTCTGATTATTTACCTTAGGAAGTCACTGCAGGGAGACTGAGGCTTTGTGTCCCTGGTAATGGAGCACAGAATGGTGCATGGGGAGTAGGTAGTTGAGCTCTTGGGCTGTAGACAAACTGAAGGCTTCAGTCCAACTTCTTATGGCTGGTTATCACTCAGTGCTGCCAGCTCACTCTGCCTGCTCAAAGCAAAGAGCAGAAGCAGGTCCCCACCCTGGGGATTTTCATTATGGAGTGAGAAATGTTCCCTAAGAACAAAGGTGTTTGGTGGCAGCATTTGGGGAGCTCAGACAAGGACATACCTGTCCCTAAGCTGCCCTTGTTTCCCTATGTGCTAAAGAGGAGGTGCAGTTTTGTAGCCCAGTTGGGTTTAGCAGAGCTGAAATTTGGAGCATGGCAGAGCAAAGGACCAATCCATTCAAGAGGGTGTGCAGGATACCCCGGGATGCCCATCCCAGGCAGCTCCATCCCTCTGTTCCCATCTCTGCTGGCTGTGAAGAGCTGCAAATGTAAAGCATGTGTGTTCTCATGGGAAATCCTTGCCCAGAGCAGCAGGTCTGGGCAGTTGGAGGCTTTGCCCATTGCTCATCAGTTCCTTCTAAAGCCAAGTAAATGGGTGATGGCATTTTAATCTTTCATGATGCTGAACCAAAAAGAAGTGTCAAGTTTCTCCCACTGGGATGAGGCTGTGTCAAGGCTCAGCTTGGGAGGTGCTCTCCCTCCTGAGGAGTTTGGTCTCCCTTGGATGTGGGATTTTTGGGGAGTGGAGCTCTAAGCTATGTCCTCAGGCTCTTCTGGTGTTGTTTATATTTGGAACTATAATTTTTGCCACTCATTCTGCTGTGGGTGCAAAAGGAGCACTTGGCTGCTGGGAAATCAGTCTAGAATGTGCCTCTTGGGAATGGGGAGTGTAGATGTTTAGTTTTGGTGATTAGCTCAGCTTGCTGTGATCTCTGGATTAAATCAGCTTCCTTCACATCTGCCTGGGTGCCCTCAACCCATCTGTAGTGAGGGTTTAAGTAGGTTTTCACCTCTAGCAGAACCAGGCAGCAGCACCTTTGGTAAAGAACTGATTCTCAGTGACACAAAGCCTTTCCGACAGCTCCCACTGTGCTACATGAGCACCTCTGAACATCACCTCCCTGGGGTCTGTGCATGGTGACAGACCCAGACAGCCCAAATCAGCACAGACACATGCAAAAGCTGCTTTTTTCCACCATCACAGGAGCCCAGAAAGTGTGTAAGGAAGGTGCATCTACCTCCTGTGGGTTGTATGTGCCTCACCAGAGGTTGGTGAGCCCCATGTGGCCCCTCCAGCCACAGAGGTCAGACTGATGTGTGGCACATAGAGATGTCTGAGCAGAGTGGTGGAAGGAAAATGGCTTTCCTGTCTTTGTTAGAAGAAGATTCATTAAGGAAACTTAATTCACTTCATTAAGTGCGTGATCTTCCACCAGGCTAAATCCAGAACTCCGCCCTGGAAGACAGTGGGTTTACTTTGATTTTATGTAAATCAGAATTGGACTTGAAATCTTTTGGAGGAAAGGAAAGAGCCTTCCCTTTCTGCTCTGCCTGGGTAGGTGACTCTTTTCCATGTGGTTGTCAGAAACCAAGTGCTGTGCTGAAAAATCAGAGCATTAAGACAATGCCAGTGGAGGGATCCTCGTTGTGACAGGTGACACAGAGCAAGTGTCTCCAGGGAATAAAGCTCCTCTCATCCCATCTGCATGTAGGGCTGTGGGGAAGGGCCTAGAGGGGCCATATGAGGAGCAGCTGAGATCATTTGGCTTGTTCAACCTGGAGAAGAGAAGACTGAGGGAGACCTCATTGATCTGCAGCTTCCTCCCGACAGGCAGTGCAGGGGCAACTCTGAACTCTGCTCTCTGGTAACCAGTGACAGGAGCCAAGGGAACAGCATGCCAGGAGGGTTTAGGTTGGATATTAGGCAAAGGTTCTTCCCCCAGAGGTGTTTGGGCACTGAACAGCTCCTCAGGGCAGTGGGCACAGCCCCAAGGCTGACAGAGCTCCAGGAGTGTTTGGCCAATGCTCTCAGGCACAGGGTGCATTGGTAGGGTGTCTGTGCAGGGACAGGAGTTGGGCTGATGATCCTTGTGGGTCTCTTCCAGCTCAGAGTATTTTGTGAGTCTATGTGTGACAGTCCCACTCCTTGGGGTCTTTTCATGGTGCACAAAACAGTTTTCCTTTCTGACTTGTACTTTTCCAGACTCCAGTGATGCCTGGGCTGGCTGGTCCATCCTCACCTTGGAAGGATGCCATGGAATGGCATCACCTGTTGAATGAGCAGTGGCTCACCTGTTCCATGAGCCAACAGGGCAGTGCAGCTGGAAGCAACTGCTTGGGCTGGCTGTAAGGGGAAGGGGCTGGAGGGAGGGCACTCAGGCTTGGATCCTCAGGGGCAGATTTCATTTCCCCCTCGCTCCTCCTGCCAACCTAACCTCTCTTGCTCACTGCTAATTTGCTCATCCAGATGTTTCCAGGTGGGAGAAAGATGCTGTTAATTGTGGGCAGCTTTGCTTAATAGCTGGCTGGGGTATGTGATTTTTGTGTGCTGAGATTTTAACCCTTCAGACTATAGAAATCAAGATAACTCCTTTCCAGAGCGCTGGTTTCATCGTGCCTTACGTGTGTGTGGGCAAACTAACACGGATGACCCTGCTGGCTTTTCCCTGCTCATGTTCTCTGCCAGCCATTCTCCATTCCTATAATTTCTTTGGTTCAACCCTCTAATTCCTCATGTCAGCTGAAAAAATTCCTCTTTATATTTGGTTGCTCTTTAGGGAATTGGTGCTAAGTTGGACACTAACTTTCCACCTTCCTCCCCTCCTTAGCAAGCAGCAGAATTCCTCCAAATCCAAGTCAGTTTGGGAGCAGAGGACCAGCCAGATCCGGATGCACAACTTCCGAGCCAGCTGTGAGGCTCTGTACAACGAGCTGGACCCAGAGGAGAGGGTTCGCTACGCTACCACCCTCCACATCAGACCTGACATGAAGACTCACTTGGATCGGCCGCTGGTGGTAGAGCCAAGGAGCGAAGGGAGGAACAACATCAACAAGCTGAGCCCTGCGGATGCACAGGAGGTGGAACACCCCAAAGTCAGCTCTACTGATGGGGCAGAAGCTCCACGGAAGCACCACCGGCACCGGGATAAAGAAAAACAGGGAGAGCAGGAGAAGGGAGATGGAACCAAGGATGAGAACGGGGAAACCGGCGTCAGCAATAAGGAGGAGAGGCACAGGCAGCACAGGAGCCGCAGCAAGGAGGTGGAAGGGGTGAGTAAGGAAGGGAAGAGTGAGCGTAACAGGGGCCAGGAAGGAGGGAAGAGGCACCAACAGGGGCCAGGAAGGGGGGAAGAGGCACCACCGCCGTGGCTCGATGGAGGAGGGTGGTGAGAAGGAGCACCGCAGGCACCGCACCCACCGGCACTCCACCGAGCGCCAGGGCAAGGAGGGCAACGGCACAGCCAACGGCGCCAGGAGCGAGCGGCGTTCCCGACACCGCGGGGGATCGAGGTCTGGGAACAGGGAAGGAGAGCCTGGCTCCAAAGGGGAGAATGGAGAAGAGCCCCACAGACGGCACAGGCTGAGGAACAGGGCACTGTCGACGTACGAGTCGGTGGAGAAGGAGAACGGGGAGAAGGAGGGAGAGGCTGGAGAGAAGGAGCATCGCAATCATCAGCCCAAGTGAGTGAGAGCTGTGTGAGACTTAGCCCTGGCTCGGCTCAGGGGCACAAGACCCCAGGCAGGTCAGATGTTTAGGTCAAGAACACATGTGGTATGAGGAAGGGCTGAGGGACTTGGGGTTGGTTAACCTTGAGAAGAGGCTCAGGGGTGACCTCATGGCTCTCTGTGACTCCCTGACAGGGGTTGGATAGAGAGCCCAAGTGAGTGAGAGCTGTGTGAGACTTAGCCCTGGCTCGGCTCAGGGGCACAAGACCCCAGGCAGGTCAGATGTTTAGGTCAAGAACACATGTGGTATGAGGAAGGGCTGAGGGACTTGGGGTTGGTTAACCTTGAGAAGAGGCTCAGGGGTGACCTCATGGCTCTCTGTGACTCCCTGACAGGGGTTGGATAGAGATGTGGGATGCCTGCCATGGCATGGCTGCAGGGAGAGGACTCGAGGGAATGGCCTTGAGCTGAGCCAGGGGAGAGTCAGAGGAGATGTTAGGAAAAATGTTTTTCCTGTCAGGGTGTTCAGGCACTGGAATGGATTGCCCAAGGAGGTGGTGGAGTCACCATCCCTGGAGGTGTTTAAGAGGCATCTGGAACTGCCACTAGAGGTTATAGTTTAGGAGTTACAGCAGTGACTGGTTAATGGTTGGACTCCATCATCTTAGATGTCTCCTTGAACCTTGATTTCAGGGAATTATTCCCCTCCCTGTGGCATTTCCTGTTGTCCTTCTGCTCACAGCAGATCCCACCAAACCCTGCAGATCTATTTTGCTTAAATCAGTAATGACAGAGGCTCCCAAAGCTGATTTCAGTCCATGAAGACCTATAGAACAGCTCAGGTTTAAGGCAGGAAATATCCTTGATGTAAATACCCACAGGTCCTGTAGGACATAAAGTGCAGCAGAGAATTTTGCAGCCTCTGAAGGAAGTTTCTGAGGGACATGATTTTAAATTACATCCAGGCTTGCTCAGAGCCCTTAGGTTTGCTTTTTTATCCTGATGAGCCTGTCAGCTGCATCACCAGTTGTTCCAGCACGTGGCTGCTGCCATTAAGAACAACGATGTCCCCCATTTGGTTTAATTCTTATGGAAGTCAAGTGAGAAAAATAGTCCTCATGAAGCATTTGGAGTAGTTAATAAAGAAGGATAGATTGCCTTTTCAGCTTTATTAGTCTGATGGAAAAGAAATTGCACTGGGATTCTTTAGAATAGAGTTCATGTCACCGTGGAGAGCTGTGAGTGGCACTGAGATAATAATTTTCCTGTCTATATTATCTTCCTTTCAGATGAATTTCAAAACACTTTGCATGCTCTTTAGTTTGCTCATGTGCACAAGCTCACTTTCCTCCTCACTGAAGCAGAGCTGCTGCTGCAGAGGAAAGCAGGAGCCATTTAGCTGCTGACAGCAATGTTACAGAGTGGTTTAGGACTGGAAAAGAGAAGCACCAGATTTAAATAAGGCCTCGGGAGAGCATTAAGAAGCAGAGTGTCAGACTTCATTCAGAACCAGCTGATGCTGGAGAGCTAATGGCACTGTTACATGCAAGTGCCACATGGTCTTTGCTTATGAGGCTCATTGAGTTGGATAAAGTGATGTTCAGTGGCACAGTTCCTCTTAGTGTTGTGCTTGGATCTTGGCTCAGAAGGTCTCAGAGGAAAAGACCCTATACTTTGCTCTCAATGAGTTGTCCAACAGGCTGTGACTTCTCCAAAGGGTTTCCATAAAGAAGATAGTCTGTGAAACCTATCAGGAGGTGCAGTGTTGGGGTACATTGATCCTCTGAGTCCTTCTTGGGCCATAGTTAACAAAATGCCCTTTTCTGCCTTAGGGAGAATCAGTGTGAGATCGAGGCCAGTGGAAGTGTGAGTGTCCCTGTGCACACCCTTCCCAGCACCTACCTGCAGAAAGTGCCAGAGCAGCCAGAAGATGCTGACAACCAGAAGAACGTGACGAGGATGATTCAGCCACCTCTGGACAAAACCACCACTGTGAACATCCCTGTCACCATCACTGCCCCACCAGGGGAAACCACTGTCATACCAAGTGAGTGCCTTTGGCTATCTGCTTTTTACTTCTATGGAATTGCCAGGAAAGACCTAATTTTCCAAGGAGGTAACACCACACACTGGGTGATGGAGGTTCTTTGGGTGATGGGGGCTCTCCTGGCCACTGGCATCCTCACAAGAGCTAGACAGGAGAACATATTGATCCAGGCTCTACCTGAAGGTACCCAAATGGGTTCCTGGGTCAGTTGGTGGCTCTGGAAAACACCACATGAAGTTCCATGATGGCTCACCCAGAGCATATCTGTGTATCTTTGTGTAAGGGAAAGATGAAGCAAGAAAACCAGCAGAATGTGGTAACTAAGGGCAGCAAAATAAGCAACTTGTGCAGCAAACCAGTCATACCTTGTTGTGAGCACAATTTCCTCTGCTTTATCACTCCCCTCTGCTGCTGTACTGTAAGCTCCTACTCCAACAGTGCTGGGTTGTGGTTCCTCTGATGCCTCAGGGGTCTGACTGGCCACAGACCCCCCAGCAAAGGACAGGGGGGCAGTGCCATTGCACCCAGGCCCACAGGATGGATTCACACTTCTTGGCTTGTTCTCTGACCCCAGTGTGGAGCAGCAGGTCCTCCTGGGCACACAGCTATCACAGCATCCATCTGGGATCCTGCTACTTTGGCTTCCTGCAGGCTGTGTGATTCCAGAGCTTGTTGCAATCCTCAGCATCTCACTTTGAGCAGATCCACCCTAGCCTGTCCTTCTCCAGAACTCTCTGCCTTGGGTCTATCAGGGTAGATGTACAGTTTTCTAGATGATGGCAAGATCCTTGTGCCTGTGGTCTGCCCTGAGGCCTCCCAGCCACCAGCCTGATCTGACCAGCATGGGGCTGATCCCTGGTAGTGTAGGCATAGTCTGGAGGAGTCCTGAGAGCTGGGGGTGCCAAGGTGAAATCCAAGGGGTCCACATTAGCCTGCAGGCTGTCAGGGCTCTGCTATGCAAGAGCCACTGCCAAAAGCTGTTAGAGTCTGAATGTGCTTTTTCACTGTTGTCAGCCACAAGATGTCTTTTCTTTTTTCCCTTCTGACATAGTTTAACCCCAGCTAGCAACCAAGAACCACACAGCCACTCACACACTCCCCCACCAATGGAATAGGAGAGAGAATCCGAAGGGTAAAAGCTAGAAAAGCTCATGGGTTGAGATAAAGACAGTTTAATAGAGAAAGCAAAAGCTGCACACACAAGCAAAGCAAAACAAGGAATGAATTCACTGCTTCCCACAGGCAGGAGGTGTTCAGCACCTCCAGGAGAGCAGGGACCATCACACGTAACAGTTCCATCACTCCAGATGTCCCCCCTTCCCCCTTCTTCTTCCCACCTTGTATACTGACCATGATGTCCTATGGTATGGAATATCCCTTTGGTCAGTTTGGGTCACCTGTCCCAGCTGTGTCTCCTCCCAGTCTCCCCTGCACCCCCAACTCCTTTGCCAGTGTGGAAAGCAGCAAAGGCCTTGGCTCTCTGTGAGCTCTGCTCAGCAACAAAAAAAACATCTCTGCATTATCAACCCTGTGTTCTGCACAAATCCTAAACACAACCCCATACTAGCCACTGTGAAGAAAGTTACCTCCACTTCAACCCAAACCAACTCCTTCTATTTTTCCTTAAATGGTAAATTTTACTATATTGCAATGCTGAGCTCCTGTCGATCACAATTTATCAGCCTTTCCCTTTCCTGGCCATTTCCTCTCTTTCTCACTTGAGATACAATAAGGAGTTTATTGAACATGTCACTCACACACAAAGAAATGTCATTTTCTTGCAAACTGAAATAAAAAGTAATAAAATCCCTGTACCTCACACATGCTGGGTGGGTGAGGCTTTTGGAGTCTGGGTCCTGGGGATTCATAGACAAGTCTATATCTTTGGCTAAGAAGAGAATTTGCAGCATAAAATGTTTCCCAGTTCATAGATTGGAAATGATCTGAAGTAAATTGTCCCATAAATCCACTGCAAGTAAACTTAGGATGAAAACTGGAGAATTTCCAACCTTTGGGAGTAAAGTTTGGAATAAACTTAGAGAAGGAGAACATGTAAGTTAAAAAACTGATGTGAGATGGAGCTTAACACCTTTACACATGGGGAGCTCTGCCAAAACTGAAATGCATACACACAGATCTAAGGAGTCCAAGAAGCTTTCAGGTCTCTTTTCCTAATGCTGGGAAGTTCAGCAGTTTTAGCCCCTAAATTATTAAAACTCATCTATTAATTTGCTCTTCTTTATATTCTAAACCCAACTGTGCTCCTGATCTATGGGAGAGTATACAGAATTATGGGGTGGGTCAGATTTCCTCTCCTTTTTCCCCTTTCCAAGCTCCCTAGCTGATCCTTCCTCCCTAATAATTTGTGCTCTTTGGAATGGGATTTCCAGTTTGGCAGCTCTTGTATAAATAAGTGTATGGTTTCTTTGTTTGGCTGCACTGAGCATCTTCATTTCCTGACAGTTTCTGCTCTATTGCTCATCAGCACAGCAGTTAAGGGGTAGAACCACCCTGTGTATCACTGCAGTCAGTAGCAGCGATAATAATCAAATGATTGTTCATCACATTTAATCAACACATCCAAAGGCTGTTTGCTGTCCCAGCTGCACTGTTTACATATCCAGCTGTTGCAGGCAGCCTGCTGGGGGAAGACTGTGGATACATGTTTAACTCTCTCCTTTCTGCTTCCTTCAATGCAGTGAACAACGTGGAATTTGAAAGCAAAACAGAGGAGAAGAAAGATGTCGATGACTTGACAAAAAATGGGCCTAAACCAATCTTGCCTTACAGTTCCATGTTCATCCTCAGTCCTACCAATCCGTAAGTCCTTATGGTACCACTTAGGGGTTCCAGGGACTTCCAGCATGGGTGACAGTGTTCACAGCCAGGTTGGCTAAAGCATTGAGCAACCTGTTCTGGTGGGAATTATCCCTAGCCAGGGCAGGGGGTTAGGACTGGATGAGCTCTGAGGTCCATTCCAACCCCTAAAATTCTGTGATTCTATGATTCAGAGCAATAACATTAGCTCAATCTTCATCTCTGCCAGTCAAACACATTGGGAAATTGAATAAAAGCTTATGTAGGCTGCAGGCCAAATGCTGCTGTTCAACTGGGGGGAAAATTGCCAGGACAGGGAATAGAGGATGCTTCAAGCAGCCCTAACTGCCCTGCTGATTCTCAGGTGGACAGTTCCTTGCTCACATAGATCACTAAAGGAACTGTAGTTCCTTTTGTTGGGAACTACACTGACAGGACAAGGAGAAATGGAGAGAAATTGAAAGAAGGAAATGTAGATTAGATCTTAGGCTGAAGTTTTTCCCTGTGAGGGTGGTGAGACACTGTCCCAGGTTGCCCAGGGAGGCTGTGGCTGCCCCAGCCCTGGCAGTGTTCACAGCCAGGTTGGCTAAAGCCTTGAGCAACCTGCTCTGGTGGGAGGTGTCCCTGCCCAGGGCAGGGGGTTGGGGCTGGGTGAGCTCTAAGCTCCATTCCACCCCCTGAACATACTATGACACTATGACACTACGGGGTGGGACTATGGACTCTCACTTGGAGAAGCTATCAGGAGTAGCAGGTTGGGGACTAGTTTGATGCCAGCAACTTCTTGCAGGTTCCTCAGTTTGGAATTCCTGTTGTTTCAATACCAGTACCCCCTGGCATCACTGAAAACTTTGAACTTCTGGGAAAACCTGACTATTTTCCATTTGCCAAGGCTGAGAGTACAGCCTGAGGGATCTGCTGGGATTAGGGCATTTCTTCCACTTCAGGCATCTCTGCCTCCTGGGGAGCTTTGTACTCAGAGCCTCTAAATACTGAATATGTTGCTCTGGAGGGCTAGAAGGACTAGAGGGGGAGCAGCAGGGGTTGTAATAATTGTAGCATGAAGGGCTGTGAGTCATTTTAAACAGCAACTTAGTGCAAGGGAGGGCGTTTGAAACTTCTGCCAACCTGGAGATTGCCAAGTAGACTTGTAGATCCTTGAGGTTGTACTCTGCATGCTCAGACACCAGTGGAGAGCTCAGGCCCTTCCTCTAGCAGCTTGATTTAAGAGAAGAGTGAGTACTCCTATACGTCCTGCTACTCAGCACTGTGATACCTTGGCTGCCTGTGCAGTCTGTGGGACAGAAGGAGCTGCTCTGTGAACTCATCATATCAGAAGTGCCTCTGTGGTAGAAGCCATGGTGTGACACCCCTGGGCAGTTGGCAGGATAAAGAGATCATAGAATCACAGAACATCCTGAGTTGGGAATGTCCCAGCTAGAATCACAGAACATCCTGAGTTGGGAGTGTCCCAGCAGGATCATCAATCCAACTCCCATCCCTGCTCAGGACACCCCAACAATGCCCCCTGTGCCTGAGAGCATTGGCCAAACACTCCTGGAGCTCTGTCAGCCTTGGGGCTGGGAAGTCAGTTTTGAATTATGAAGGTTGGCCACTCTCTGGTGGATAAGCAAACAATATTTCCCTAATATTTAGTAGCTCAAATCTTTTTATTGTGAAACGACCACCAAAAATGAGCATTACCTGCAAAAGTGAGATGGTCCTGAGCTGAGGAGTGGGCTGGGCAGACAGAGAAGCAGCAAGACTTTTTTTGTTTCATGTCTGGTTGTTTTCTCTCACCTCATCCCACAGTTAGGACCTTCTGAGCCTCATAGTCCAGTATTTGCTATGTTGTTTCCATTGCTTTGGAGTTTCCTCCAGCACATACACACACACACTCTCACGCCCTCCTGGAAAAAGCTGTACTGAAAGACCATTGGAAATACAAAGTTCACTGAGACAGAAAAATATGTTATAACACACAGCCAAAGGGGAATAACAAGACAAAGACCAAACTCTAGGAATGTCAGCAACTTGTTTTTCTTCCTGTGGGCAAGATGCAGCCCCAGCTGGATCCCCTCAGGTGTTTTGGCTGGTTTTAACTTCTCCAGAGAGGTCTTTCTGCTTTCTGGGGTATGAAGCTTTTCACCACATCTATTGCTAACATCTCCCTTCCAAGTCCTGCTGGGGATGCATGACCTCAGTGCTGCCAGTGGGCAAAACAGTTCAGAGAAGCAGAAATGAGCTGCATTGCTTTACAAGTGCCACCACCCTCTTCTAGCAGACATGGATTGAAAGTGATTTCTCAAGCACCACTGGCACTTTACAAATGCTCCCACATCTCTCTGCTGGTTATGAATGATGAAGATCTAAAAATAGGACCTTGTTATTTCTTTGATGAATTGAGTTTGATGCCAGAATTACAGCTACAAATGTTATTGAGAATGTGGATTCACAGAGCCCATAGATGATAATCATCTGTCAGCTTGAGAACCAGAGTGAAAGGATCCACAAAAGCACTTCAGGTTATTTTCTATCAAATCAGTTTCCTTGGTGTTTGTAGCTCTTTTTCATTCTGAAACCATTAGCAATCCAAAGGAAAGGAATATGTAAGTAGATGTGAAAAATAAACTCTAACTGTTCAGATATTTGCTTAGAGAAAATGGGATATAGCGACTGAAGTAGATTCTCTGATAACAAGGTTGTTGGGAGGCAAATATATAATTTGATTCCCAAGTCCTTCATTCAGCTGACAAATCTGGTGCAAATGTAGAGCTCTCTGTGCAGTTAAGGATTTGTGAATTGTGGTCAGGGAGAGTTATTAGCTGAAATTTGTGAACAGTTTTGCACCGCTGAGAAATTGAAGCATTTGTCACTTTTCTTGGGCACCATTTGTGAATAAAAAGATTAGGTTCAAGTAATCAAATCTATTACTGTAAAGTATTTGTGCAGCTCCTAAAGCATATTGTAAAGTGCAGGCTGAGGTACTTGGCAAGAGAGAGATTGGTGGGAGGAATACTCAGAGCTAAAAGCCAGTTTCAGCTAAGAGTCTCAAAGTGCATTGCATGTATCTCAATTTTAAAGGGATTAGCTGATATTAAAAGGATTTCAAACCTTGTTTTGAGCTCACAGGACATTAGCCTTGGAGTTCAAAGAGAACAGGATGGGGGTGTATGTAAACATGATTTGTAGAATTGAGCCTGAATGCTTGAAAGCTTTCAATGACCTTTTGAGAGATGGAGAGAGGAAGAGAACTAGAAAAATGGTAGTGAAATAAATGATAGTGAGATTAATAGAGAGACAAACAGAGATAAATAGGTAGATGTCATTGCTTTGCAGAGAGGGTCGAGAGCAGTGCAGAGATGTTTAAATCTCTTACTTTGAATCTTACCACAGAACTGTTGCAAACTTGTAGAATTGAGTCTGAGTGCTTGACAGCTCTCAACGTCTTTTTGGTAGATGGAGAGATAGATAGATAGATAGATAGATAGATAGATAGATAGATAGATAGATAGATAAATAGCTAGGTAGATAGGTAGATAGATGGATAGATAAATAGATAAATAGATAGATGTTGTTGCT